CCCCCCCCCCCCCCCCCCCCCCCCCCCAGGGGCGCTAGCTAGCTAGCTAGCTGGTGCCCACATTCAGCTAACTACTTGCAGCTAGCTAGCTGTGTACATACAGCTAGCTACCTACAAATAGCTAGCTAGCTGCCTGCATGCAGCAAATCCTCTACTACCCTGTGTAGCCAGATATCTACCAGCAGCTAGCTAGCTAGCTAGCTAGATAGCTGTCCGTCCTCATGCAGGCTCTTGTATATACACACCAAGCTCTTCTTATAGTAGACCAGAGTGCAGGAGGACGCCTTCGCTGCTGCTGCTGCAGCAGCAGCAGCAGCAGACCCCCCGCTAGTGCAGCAGCAAACTGGGGCCTGCCGCTGCAGCGGGATGGCGAGGCTGCAGCAGGAAAATTCACATTCTTCCCTCTACGTTTAAGGCCTAATTCACGCTGGAAGGGCACAGCAGCAGCAGCAGCAGCAGCAGCAGCGTCAGCAGCAGCAGCATCAGTATCGCTGTGTTACGCTGCTGCTGTTGGTGTCTGCTGCTGCTGGTGTCTGCTGCTGCAGCTCTGTACATTCAGGCAAATATTTATAATAAGAAGTATAAGTAGCAGCAGCGCGCGGAGCAGCAGCAGCAGATCCTGCTGCTGCTGCTGCTGCTGCTGCTGCATGCGCAGTGGATGGGGGGGCAGCCACATGGGAGGGGAGGAGGCGACGCGTTAGCTGCAGCAGCTTCTTGCTGCAGCAGCAGCAGCAAATTGTCTGCTGCTGTTAATGACTAATTTGCTGCTCATGTGTACTAAATAAATATAAAATAGAGGGAAAATAAAGAGTTGCTGCAGGCAGGCGCACCTCGAGTTGCTGCTGCTTGGCCCCAGCTGCAGCAACAGTAGCCGCGGCAGCGGCAGCGGCAGCTGCTGCTGCTGCTGCTGGTGCTGCTGCTGCTGCTGGTTCCATGCGTGGAGTCGGGGCTGAGGGGTTGGAAGCCTACGATCGTGTACTTAAACAGCTGCAGCAGCAGCAGCAGCAGCGGCAGCAGCAGGATATTATTGCGGTTTAGGATGTGCACCAACAGCAACGTCAGTAGCAGCAGCAGCAGCAGCAGCAGCAGCAGGACTTGCTGCAGCACGCCCGACGGCGCAGCAAAAAGGTAGGCTAAGGGGCCCCCCATCTTCACTAATAAAATTGCTGTTAGGTCTTCATACGATCTGTCCCCTGTTTGTTCCTCAAGTGCAGCAGCTGCAGCAGCAGCAGCAGCTGCAGCAGCAGCAGCAGCTGCAGCTGCTGCTGCTGTTGCTAAGTATATCACGTTGTTTGCTCCCTTCTTAGTATTGGTTAGAGGTTCGCACCTCGTAAGAAAGTGTCTCTGTTGACTCTCTTACTTCCTGCTGCTGCTGCTGCCTCCTGCTGCTGCTGCATGCAGCAAGCAGCAGGAGGTAGCAGCACGCAAGGCAGCAGCACCATCCCAGTTGCTGCTGCAGCACCTGTCTCCCTTTGTAGGCAGCAGGGGGGCCTACCATGATTAGAGGGCCCCCCTTTTAGGTCTCTTTCTGCTGCAGGTCCTCTTCTTTGCTTCCTTGATCTTGCAGCAGCAAGCTGTGTCGCCGCCGCCGCCGCCGCCGCCCGAGCAGCAGCAGCAGCAGCAACAGCAGCAGCAGCAGCAGCAAGGGCAGCAACAAGAGCAGCAGCAGCGCAGCAGCTGTATTAATAGCGGAAGATCACCATGGAGCAAGACGGTCCAGCAGAAGCTGCTGCTGCCCTTAGCGACACAGAGGCAGCAGCTGCAGCAGCAGCAGCAGCAGCAGCAACAGCAGCAGCAGCAGATGTCCCCGTAGCAGATGAT